ACAGGGTGCCTTAAAGGGCCAACAATAATAATTACATAGTGCCACAAGGTGTCCAATATTTCTATATTAACCTGCCATGCAGCACCCCACAGACCAAGAACGGGCCACTGTACCTACCAGCAGCCTGGGCACCACGCCCCGTGGGTCCCTGGTCCCGCAACCTATTCCCTCTCAGAGGGAGGATGTGGGGTCGGTTGAGAAATTGAATTCAGAGGTGTTTCACTCCCTGCTTGACGCGACCATGGCAAAATCGGTCACACAAGCCATATATACGGCGATGGGGGCGATGTCGGATAACCTGACCCAATCTATCAGCCACGCCATCATGGCGTCTGGCCACGGCTCCGGTGACCAAAACTCCAAGGCACAAGACGATGAGCCTGCTCCCTTTAGCGTTCGCAAGGCCATTGCAAAGACCCATCACATGGGCAAACACACCTCCAAAATAGTTGTGACGGACAGGTTGCGCCCTGTCACTGATGAGTACGTGGGGCCCCCACGTAAGAGAGCCTCCCACCGGGCAAAAGCGGTGCGGTCGTGGAAATGGGCGAAAGCCAGCAAAGATATATCCGATTCTGATTCGGACCAGGAGAAGGTATTGAGTGAGTCCGAAGGTATGGGCTCACAAGACTCGGAGGACTCTTCTCCGGAACGGGATTTTTCAGACAAGCCGCCCACTAAGGGTCGTGAGAAGACGGATGACTCCGTTATCTTCGATCCGCAAGGGGAACCTTTGTTCAACCCGGACGACCTACAGCATCCTAGGTCGACCGAGTGGTTCCCGGCGGACCACGTGGCTCAGTATATAGCGGCCAGAATTAGAAAGCCCCTAGACAAGGCTACTAGGAATAAGTTGAGGGCCGAATGCCCGCGCCCAACTGTGCCTGATTTGGCGTGCGCCACGCCAGAATTGGACCCAAAGATTGCCCAGTTTCTGGGAAGGTCGGGCTGGAAAGCCAAAAAAGGCCTAGATTATTCATTACGCCATTGTCAGGATAAGGTGCTAGACTCACTGGGCCCCAGCGCAAAAATCTTCGACATGGTCAAAGAGACGATTTCCAATGGCACACCTGTGGACCTCTTGGCTATCCGAGAGTGGGCGCAACGCTCTATATGTCTCATTGGCAACTCCAATGCTGCACTCTGTACAGAGAGACGAAAGGCGGTCCTCATGAAAATTGACCCGACGTTGGTCAACATGGCTATTGCTGAACCCGGGCCGCAGGCAAAGGGCCTCCTCTTTGGGGATAATTTTGTCAAGGAATTGGGCACCTATGTTAGTACGTTCACAGCCCTGGACAAGGCACAAACAAACTTAAAGCGGGTGTTCGCCCCAAAGGTTTTTGGGGGGGCTGGCAGACAACGGGGCCGTCTGTCCAGCCGGTCATCACGGGGCTCCTATCGGGGCTACCGAGGCTCCACTGCACCGAGATTTCAGCCACCAGAGGTCAGGAATCCTGCACCATTCTTCCCTGTCCGGGGCAGGCCATGGCAACCCAGAGGGCGCAGAGGCGCTACATATGGCCGACGACCTTATGGTGAGTACCATCTTTGCTTCCCGAGTTTATGCTTCAGCTGTAGGGGGCAGACTAGCTCATTTTATCGGGGCATGGCACGGACTCACGTCCGATGTCTGGGTTCTCAGCGCTGTGGCGGGGTATCGGATAGATTTTGTCCAACCCCCAGTACAACTAGCAGCCCCCCGACCAATGGTCCTTTCCCCGACAGACAAGAGTCTCGTGTCGCAGGAAATCAGATCTTTACGGGAAAAGGGCATCATTCCCCAGGTTTCCTGAGCAATCTCTTCCTAGTCCCCAAGAAGGGCGGCGGGGTAAGACCGGTGATAAACCTACGCCCCCTCAACGCGTTTGTACGGTACCATCACTTCAAAATGGAGGGAATCCATTGCCTGCGAGACCTCCTCAGGCTGGCAGATTGGATGGTCAAATTGGACCTCCAAGATGCCTACCTTACCGTCCCCATAGCGGAGGAATGTCACCACCTCCTCCAGTTCCAGTGGGACGATCAGATGTGGAGGTTTCATGTGCCTCCCGTTCGGCCTGTCGTCCGCCCCGTGGTGCTTTACAAAGCTCTTGAAACCGGCGGTGGCGCTGCTTCGCAGCAGAGGAGTGCGCATGATCATCTACTTGGACGATATCTTGATCATGGCGCAGGAGGTAAACATGCTCCGACAACACTTGTCATGGACAATACAACTATTGCACAACCTCGGGTTTCTCATCAATTGGGAAAAATCAGTATTGACTCCCTCACAGTCCATGGAATTCCTGGGCTTCACTATCAATGCAGTCCAGGGGACTCTGAATTTACCGCAGGGAAAGATCAAAGTTATCAAAAAGGAGATCCACAGGACGCTACGGCGATCAACACTCACGGTGCGACAACTGGCCAGGATAATCGGACTCCTCTCTGCCTCCATTCAAGCGATCTTCCCAGGGCCTCTACACTACCGGGCCCTACAGAGGTTAAAGACCACACATCTTCAATTGGGTCGCTCTTATTCAGACTCCGTGCTGCTCGATCACACGGCCAGGGCGGGACTCAACTGGTGGTTGCAACACATGGAGGCTTGGAACGGGAAAGCGATTTTTGGCAACGTCCCGGATTGCGTAATAGAATCCGATGCCACCACGCTGGGCTGGGGAGCGCGTTGTGGGCATATTTCCACAGGCGGAAAATGGTCCCGGTCGGAAAAGTCGATGCATATCAACGGTCTGGAACTTATGGCGGGATCATTCGCACTGAAAAGCTTGCTGGGCACCAGGACACATTGCTCCATCGTCCTAAGGATGGACAACATATCAGCAGTGCAATACATCAACCGCCTGGGCGGCACCAGATCTAAGCTCTTGGCGGATCTGGCCATGGAGTTCTGGCAGTTTTGTCTGGACCGCAACATCTCGGTGCTGGCCGAATACATCCCGGGCCTCTCGAATACAGTGGCGGATTGGAATTCCAGACACCTACGGGACAACAGCGATTGGCGCTTGAAGCGGGATATATTCCTGCGCCTGCAGACGTTGTGGGGCCCGCTGCACATGGATCTGTTTGCGTCTCGGTTGAATACACAACTACCAGAGTTCTTCAGCTGGACACCGGACCCGGATGCAGTGGCTACGGATGCGTTCCTCCAACAATGGCCACGGAAGAGACTGTACGCTTTCCCACCGTTCGCTCTGCTGGCGCGGACATTGGTTCACCTCAGCCGTTCGCAGATGACCTTGGTGTTAGTCGCGCCATTTTGGACGGCACAACCATGGTTCCTGTCCCTCATGGAGATGTCTGTCGACCTCCCCAGATTGCTACCAGCAGACCCTCATCTATTGGCGGACCCTTTGGCGCTGCACGGACATCTCAGATTACTAGCATGGCTCCTTTCCGAGGATTCCCAATCATACCGGAGGTTCCACGGACAACGTTGGAGCTACTGGCAGGGGCCTGGGCGCCAGGTACTCGGAGATCCTACAGTCGGCATGGGACGTCTGGAGTGGTTGGTGCATGGAACAACCAGTGGATCCCGTTCATGCCCCTCTGAACAGCATCCTGCGTTTCTTGACAGCCTTGTTCGAACAAGGTTTGGCCTATCGGACTATTAACGGCTATAGGTCAGCGATTTCAGCAGGACATCATGGACTGTACGGTGCACCGATAGGGAGACACGCAATGGTATGCAGACTCCTACGAGGTGTTCGTTTTGCAAGGCCACCACGACCTAGATATACATCCACGTGGGATGTAAATTTAGTCCTGAGCCTACTGGAACAGTGGCCACGAAACTCCGATCTTACACTGAAACAACTATCATCAAGCAGAAAAGCATTGCCAGTTTTGCTATCATGCAAAAGAGTCTCCGAGGTACGAGCATTGGATGTGGACGCACGTTCATTCACTCCATCAGGAGTGACGTTTCACATTTCCAGACGTACAAAAACGGCAATGTCGACAGTATCCTATCCAGCGTTCCCTCATAATGTAAATCTATGCCCTGTACTTTGTCTCAAAGAATATGAAGAACGAACACGGGCGTTACGAGATCCTAATAGACATGAACTATTTATTGCCATCAAAACACTACATCACCCAGTATCGACAGTTCCGATAGCTAGATGGGTAAAATAGGTAATGGCCTCTGCAAATATTGATACCTCTGTATACAAAGTACACTCCACGAGGGGGGCCATAGCGACCAAGGCTTTTACTTTAGGTTGTAGATTGGAAGACCTTTTACGTACGGCGGATTGGTCGTGGGAGTCCACCTTTAAAGAATATTATTTTCGACCTCCAGAACATGTCACGTCCTCAGTCATTGCTCAGCTTTAAACTAGCACAATATGAGCCTCCGTGTCCTTTAATAAAATTACCAGATTTTACTAATTTCATGACGTAAAGTCATGATTTTATAAAGGACACAGAGGCGAGTATTGGCCCGCCCGAGGAGGATCGCGACGATGGCATGTTAAGTATCGCGAGGTTGGTATTAGCTAACATGATTTCCGGACTCCCACCCAGTAAGTTGAAATGATAAGACTTATAGGTTGATTGACATGTTGTTTAGAATAATGTGTTTCAAGCATGTGATGTATGACAGTCTACAATAGGTATGATGATCTGTAGAGGTTGCTAGATATAGTAAGGCATGGTGATAGCATATGTAACATACAGTTACTAGATCACACATTACCATATCTCTCTCTCTCCCGTTTTCAGCTTAACGTCTACACGCCAACGACATGGAGGATCAGTTTTCGTCTTCGTTTATTGAGTTTATGTTCCAGGTTTGTTATGGAGGAGATAACGACATACCGGTTATGAGTCAAGTCATCTCGCAAGGTTTTACAATTCGGCTTCAGCAGGATCAAAGAAAGAGGGAGAGGAAAGGTCACATGGGTGGCTATTGATAGATGGACTGTTCCTATTGGTTGGGATATCAGACTATGTTAACCCTTTGAGTACTCAGTTTGATTTCGTTTATGTTTATGCATTTCTTTTTCTTTGCTGCTGAGGTATATTAAAGAAAGAGAGAGCACAATACTCGCCTCCGTGTCCTTTATAAAATCATGACTTTACATCATGAAATTAGTAAAATCTGGTAATTTACATGGCTATTTCTTAATTCCTTAATTTTTTTTTTTTTATCCATTTGATGGAATGTGAATTGAATTATTCAAGTCTGCCAAAAATAATACACATCGGTGGCCTAACCGTACAAAAATATTTCATTTAATAAAATGTAAAATGTTGTAATTACAAACATGGTAAGTTTAATACCTATAGTTATACAGTGTTAACAGCCCTTTAAATGCAAATGATCCAAGATTGTTTTAACATGTTTGGGGTTAAGCACAAACAAACAGAAAAAAGCATTTAAAAAGTCATGCGTTGTTTTAGGAAAACCCATGATGACTCCAAAGACTAATGTATTGATTCTAGCTAGCACACACACACAATAACCCATTGAGGATTCCATATCAAGCTATCCAGTGTTCGCCTTCAAATCTGCTTTTAGATAACATATGACTGTCTTTTCAAAATCCCAGATGTTTAATAAATGCCTCTTTATTTCTAACACACAATGTTATATTCGTTGTACTTTAATACACATGTCAAAATTCTAATGTATCCATGTGTGGCTGGTACAAAAATGAGGATAATTATATCTT